GGAAGAAAAAACTAGGGCTTACAAATTAGAGGGTTCACCCCCCCTAAATCTTTCCCAAAAATCTCCCACACTTGAGATCGTTACTACCTTGTTGCTCTACTTTGCTCGTTTTTTTTCTTCTCTATGGTCATCGATTGCAGCCCATGGATGAAGGAAGGAGGATGTTTGAAGCGTACGTGATGGGATAAAAGAAACGCACGCCCCCCTTTAAACTCATAAACCCGACGATCCATGAGTATGGGAGTTATAATTCTATTTTTGCCAATAAGTCCTTCAATTTCAGCCACGATCTCCTTATACCCCCCAACCCTAGATTACATGACATTACAAGTTTCTTCTAATAACATTCTAACCCCTCAATTCTATTTAAACCATTTAAATTAATTATATTTACCCTAGAAATTTCATAACTCAATTTAATTAAATCTATACCATTTAATTATTAATTAATCATTTTAAATATTAAATAACATCATTCTTATTTAATTTTTTTCATTATATAACCTTAAAACCAAAATAATCCTACGAAAATAAATATTTGTCTAACGGAAGATAACACCGTTGACGGAAACAAATTCGGGTCGTTACACGTTCTGACTCGAAGAACAAAGTTGATCCCATTATCAAAGTGAGATGCACCAAGTTATGGAATGAGTCACTGAAGCTTCACTTGGTTAGAAAGAAAACATAATATGAATACACTGAGGTTGTATTTGCTCGTGAGCTAGTGAAATTTGGCTATAGTGAGTGGATGCAATTTCAAGAAATTATCGATAAACACAAGCGTATTCATGCTCAGGAAGTGAAGTTGGCAATTCAACAACTACTCAACAAAGTCAAGAAGCTGAACCTTATGTCATCAGCTGGTCCATCTAGTACATCGTCTTCAGGAAGAACATGCGCTTCCAGACAGTCCAAGAATACCAAGTTTCTTCTTCCTTATGGTAATAGGTACATCAACAATAAATTTCCAGCTGGTGTTGCAGTCCAATACATGTTCATTCCAGAACCAAAGCATGGGATATTTTATCTTGACAATCAGAATCAAGTGTGCTTTCAACGCACTAATGATCTTCCTTCTGCTCCCACTGAACATTTGTTTCATCTTCGCTTGGAAGGAATTGGTCATTTTGAACTGGAAAGAGGATATCGTGTGCTGATATCTCTGGAGCTTAGTAGAAGACTAGATGAACTTAAAATTGATCAATTCAGATGGGTCAAGATTGAGATCTTAAAAGAAGCTGACAAGTTTTACAATGGATCTTCTGATGACTCTGAAGAAGATTAGTTTTGACATCATCAGATAGGGGGAGATTGTAAGGTCACACCTTATGATCTGATGAGTCAAACACTCTACACTATCTGTCAGCGCCAACGTCTTCTCAACTACCAGCGCCAACATATCAAGCTTATCAACGTCGACGCATAGTATAGTTTTTCTATGTAATCATTTTGTATATTAGGTAATGATATAGATAAATATAGAATAGATAGCAGATCCGGTATCTTTGTTATGAAGATCGGTTCTTAGTATAGATAAGATACAAAGTCGGACTCTCTACATTAGGGTTTACCCTAATGTAGATTACATATTAATCTATACATGTGAATCCCTTAAATTATGGGATTCACATGTATAGATTAGTATATAATCTACATTAGGTTAAACCCTAATGTAGAGACTTCGGCTTTGTGTCGATCGTCTTTGTGACAACCAATCTTCTTGGTGAAAACAAAACCTTTTCTTGGTGAAGGAACAATTTGGAGAACTCTCTGTGTTATTTATTTTCTGTTCTTTGTGTAACACTCATTGCAGGTATCAATTTCTTTTCAGAATTTTAGGGTTTCAGACTGGAAGGGGAGCTCCAACTCGTCGAGTGGAGATCATTATGGGACGCAGGATTTAGGACCTACTCGACGAGTTGGAAGGCCCAACTCGACGAGTAGGCGTTGTAAAGGAAAACCCTAAATTTTAGGGTTTGCACCCGATATAATCACCTTAAAACCTTGAGGCTGACCTTTCATCAGCCTCCAAACCCTAAAAACGTCAGTACTTAGCCCTAATCCCCATTTCTCTCATATTGTGAGCTAGAGTGACTTTTGGAGCTTAAGAAAAAGAAAATAGTGAGAAGGAGGAGGAGATCCAGCAAACAAAGCCTTCACTCTTGAGCTTGACCATCTTGTGGACTATTGTAATCATTCAAGATTCGATTTTTATCTTAGAATATGACTAGATCTTGAGTTTACTCTTCATTTCCCATCATTCTTGTTGATTGCATGCATAGGGTTAATAAAGTTTGCAACTTTATGAATCTCTAGGACAAAATGGTCCCATGGTGGGCTAGATGTAGCTTTTGGTCAAGCATGGATACCATGCATGGATTTTTTAGGGTACATTTTCCCTCTTTGGCCATTTTGACTTCAAGACATGCATTGGACATGCATGTCCATAAAGCCTCCATCTTTGGAACGCTTTGAGGATTAGAACCTCTTCTGGAAAGGAGGGATTTCAGATCCCTAGAGTCTTGAACCACATAGCTAAGCTTTTGGGCTTTCCAACCTTTGTTAAGGGATTTAGAGCATTCAGAGTGGTTCTAGGGGATAAAGTTGGAAACTTTATCCTTCTAGACACCTTTAGGTTTCAGATCTAAGCCCTAGAGTCCCTGCAATCGACGTATCATCGGAATAAGAAAACAGGGGGGGAGTCGACGAGTTACTTTGGCAACTCAACGAGTAGGGTCGGGTTTCCCCGTCTACTGGATATCGAGTGAACTCGTCGAGTTGATGAGACAACTCGACGAGTTGGCTAGGGCTTGTCCTGGATTTATGGACTCTGAAGGAACTCGACGAGTTGCTAGATGCACTCGACGAGTTGGGGTCAACATGGATTGTTGACTTTGACTGTTGACTGGGTCTTCGACCAGGGTTGACCAAGTTTGACTTTGAGGGTAGTTATGGTATTTCAGGATTTTGACAAGTTAATCACATGATGATTACAGGCAATTGAGTTGGAGCTGCGCGTGGGGACTTATCTGATCTTGTCTTATCAGTTCAGCATTCTTGAGATGTGAGTCTTCTCACCATACCAATGGGTCTAAGGCACCAAGGCCGACCCATTTTGCGATATGTGGATTGTTGATTGATTATGCATTATGTTAGTATGACTCTTGCATGGAAGACACCGGGGGTTCCCGTGGCAGTAGATTGAGACCATGTGGGGGTTCTCATGGAATTAGTGTAAGACCTTGGAGGGTTTCCATGGCATCCTAGTATATTCGCATGTTTAGCTTGTATGATATTCTTGATAGTAAAGACCATGTGGGGGTTCCCATGGCAGAAAGACCATGTGGGGGTTCTCATGGCAGTGGGTTAAAACCACGTGGAGGGTTCCAGTGGCACCCAATGTAAGACCTTAGAGGGTTTCCATGACATCCTTATATGTTTGTAAGCATGGATTGTATGGTTTATGTAGCGTTTATAGCTAATATGGATTTTGTGATTATGTGAATTGTGTGGGGTATGCTCTGGGGAACTCACTAAGCGGTAGCTTACAGTTTGTTGATTTGTTTCAGGTACTTCTGAGCCTAAGGGCAAGGGCAATGCTTGATGGCGCGACATGCACTCTCCGACATTTGATTTGATGGGACACTCTGATGTTTTGAATAAAATGTTAATGTTATGAATTTGAAAACAATGGTCAATGTTACTTCATATTTTATGGGAATGTTTGGTTAATTAAAAATGAAAATTTTATTTGAAAATTTGGGTCGTTACACTTAGTTTTTCGTAGATTAATTTACTTTCGTTCTTTATACTTGAAGTGTATCCGATCGATACAAACCTTCACATATGTTTTTTCTAAATTAAAATATAATGTGAGTTAAAAAAAGAAATAATTACATAAAGAGTTTTATAGAATATTTTTGATATATGTATGGATAAATTAGTTAATTTTTAGAGCAATACAAAGTCTTCATAGATGTACTATATATTTAGAGGAAACTATTTCAAGCATAAGCTACGTTTGCACAATTGCACCAAACGAGAAATTTGGGTTTTTGTAAACCCTTGATTCTTAAAAAATCCTATCATCGTGTCCGTTTGATATGGGGTTTTGAACTGTAGGTGTTTGGTAGGTGAAATGACCTTTTCTAGTAGTAAATCACATGAGTCTATAATGTAATTAACTGTGAATGAGTTATTTAATGTTGATGAACATAAGTATTAAGGAATTGGTGTTGTTTTGAGCACATAAAATGTCAAGTTTTTGCGGATGAGATTGAACATTGTGAGTAGATATATATGTGGATTTAGGGTATGACATGTATGCGATAAAATTACTTTTAACTTAAAATAGTAAATTATTAATATAAATGCTATTAAATATTTCATCTTTTCAACAAATTAAACACGTCCGTAAAAAAATAAGCACGTTCAACGAAATTGCTTCACAAAACAAGTAAATAGAAATGTAATTTATTAAAATGAATTTATTAAAAAACCGAGAATCGTAAAAAAGCAAAAAATGAAAGTTTTTTTTTCATAATATATGTCCACTTAGTGTTTTTTCATAATATATGTCCACTTATACATGTCTATATGTTGCTTGCCGGTTTTGTATATGCTCACAAAATGAAAGTTACGATCATCTAATGTATGTATGTACATAGATACCTACATGCCTATTAATTTAATATTTTTTATAATATATAATAATAATAGATAATAAATAATAGATTTGAGATTTAAATTTAAGTTTAATATTTATCATAATTTCAAAATTTTTAATTATTTAAAAATTATTTTTGCATAGGATTATATTTTAAAGCTACATTTAATTAAAAAAAAAATAGAAAATAGATGCATTTTGTTTAAAGTCAAAGGGTTGCGTTAAAAATAATATAATAAATAAGCAATAAGTCAATACAAATCTATAAATGTATATATTTAATTTTATTTTTTAAATCGTAATTATTAAATTTTCAAAAATAAAGTAAAATCTACATCATCGGCGACCCATAAACACCGAGTAACCGACGACCCCTGCACCTCCACTGTGACTTCACCTACACATCTTTAGAATCCCAACCCCTCAAAACTAAACCAGGAATTAGGTGTTTCTGATCCTCGGAAATGGCGGATGAAGTGAAGTTGTTTGCTGCTGGAGGAAGTCCATTCGTTTGCAGAGTCCAAATCGCTTTGAATATGAAGGAAATACAATACGAAAAATTGGAAGAAGATCTTCACAACAAGAGTGCCGACCTTTTGAAGTACAATCCTATTCATAAGAAAGTACCGGTGCTGGTTCATAACGGAAACGCGATCTCGGAGTCTCTGGTGATCGTTGAGTACATTGACGATGCCTGGAAAGGGGTTCCGATTTTGCCTCAGGATCCTTATCAGAAGGCTGTTGCTCGATTTTGGGCGAAATTCATTGATGATAAGGTAATAATATAATTCTATTCTAATCTTCATTAATTGTTACTGTTTTTTTGTGTGATTATGTCATTGTTAGTGGACATGATTTGATTTCATATGAGCATTTGTTAAAGGACAGATTGAGAAATCGTAACCAATTTTCAAGTATAAGGGCACTTTTGAAGCTACAATCATCTTCTTTTGGAGTGCCAAAGCATGTACTCTGGTTACATATATCCAATATTTTGGTCCACAATGTTAATCATAACGATGATGATTGATGATGAACAGTATACATATTACACATTTTTCTCAATAAAAAACATACGAGCACATCTGTTTATTGATACTACTTGTATTTTTGGTTTGTTCAGTGCATTCTTGCACTATTCAAGGTTTTTGGCAACAATGGAGATGAGCAAGTTGTGTCAGAAGCTTGTGAGCAACTTCAAATACTAGAAAATGAACTGAAAGTCAAAGGTACAAAGTTTTTTGGAGGTGACAACATTAACTTGGTTGACATTGCTGCTGGTTTTATAGCATATTGGCTTGGAATGCTGGAAGAAGCAACCGAAATAAAGTTTGTCACGAAAGACAAATTTCCAAAAATAACCGAATGGGCAGACAATTTCATCAACTGTCAATTTGTGAAGGAGGTCTTACCTCCAAGAGTATACCCTCCAAAAGAATACCTGCTTGCATTTTTTAAGGAACAGTTTGGTAAGAAGTAATGTTATATATTTAAGGGTTGTTTGGTAGAAATTTTATCATTCAGAGATACCTCTGAATGATTCAAAGTTTTTGGGTAAAGTTGCTGAACGTAACTGCTAAATAGAAAAACCTACCGTTTTAACCTTCTAACAAAAAATTACAAAAACATTGAAATAAATCAAACTCATCGATCTTCAAACCCCAAAAAGATATAACTCAAAGTCATTGAAGTAAAATCAGCAACATCAAAATCTAACAAAATCTGATAAACCTAAGACTAGAGGGAGTGATGGTGTGTATGACGTGTAAGCATAACATGATGCTAGGGAGTGATAGTGTGTTAAACACAAGACTTTTTAGACAGAGTTTTTTCATGAAAAAACCTTAAAAATAAAAATCTCTATATTTCTCCACAATAGGTAAACTTTTTCGATATGGGTTTTATGATTTGTTTATATATATATATTTTGTTTAGTTACAATTGGTTGAAAATAAATAAGACCCGTACAATAATTAAAAAAGCTCATCACAAGAGCTTGTTAATTAACAAGTTCAATGAAAAAGCTATGGTTTCGAAAAAGTCATCCAATAGCTTTTTCAATTTTCAAGAAACTTTTTGTTAATTAACAAGTTCTTGTTAATTAAATAAGACTTTCGACCATAGCTTTTGGATGCTCTTATAAATCGTCCATCAATCAAATAAGACTTTGGACCATCCGGATAGTCTTGCTTTGTTGGAAGCTTGCTTTAATAGTTATATATGAACATAGACAAAATGTCCATAAATATACTTACGATGTATTCAACTTTAGTTTTTAACTTGGAGTGATGACTTTCAAGTTTCAACTCTGTTAGTTGTGTAATTTCCGAAGTGAAATAATTCACTTCAATTGACTACATAATTATCAAAAATATTAAGAACACACAATACATTTCAACAATACATGGGAATTCAAGCAATATTGTTTCTACTTGGGCCAAATTGAAGATGTATGCTCCCTCTCTTTGGTGTTTAACTTTAAGGATACATGTTTGTATGCTTTTGAAGATGAAGGACCAATAGCATTACAGCAACATTTGCGCTGGTGGAATTTTCGTCGCGCGGGTACCCGCGCAACTGCCCAGTTTGGGCATTTTGGTCATTTGACTTGCCATTACCTTGGGGAATCAGACCTAGCAGCCATAACTTCGATTTGACACCATTGGAGACCTGTAGGAGGCGATTTTTGAAGCTCAAGACTCATTTCTCTTCATCTTTCCAAGATTTTTGGTAGTTTCTTTATGCAATTAGACTTTTGTGAATGTTGTTCTATTGCCATGAGTGGCTAAACTCTTTATATTGGCTAACTTTGGTTAAAACCTTTGAATGTTTGTGGGTTTTTGAAGGATTCATGCTAGATTATCAATTATCTTATGTTTATGGTTCTAGATCATATTTCTTATGCTTGTTTAATGCTTTGATCATGAGCTTGGCACTTGAATGAGCTATTGTTAGTTTATTTCTTTGGTTTTGCATTGAATCATTGAATTAACTTAGAACAAGGGATTTATGATGGTAAAAATCATCTCTAGTTTATGAATCATAGCTCCTTTATGGATGTGTAAGCATTGACATCCTCTAGGAATTGGGGATTCCTTCTTTCTTAAGGCTAATTAACTTCTTGGGTTCAATTGCTTCAATTAAACCCTTGATCTTGATTAAGAAGGTGTGTTGTGGGCTTCCCCAACCTCCATACTACCTAAGAGGAATCTTGGCATATCATGCTTCATGATTGCTATAACCAATTTGGGATGAATGATAAACTTCATGTTGAATCCTAATGATAAACACACAAATGTTCATTGTGTTGAATTGCCTTGGTTAACCAATTGTTCCCAACATTTGAGCATCTCACTATCTTGCTTAATTGCAAGTTTTTAGTTATTCAAGTCTTTTAGTTTTCAAGCAATCATAACACCCCCCCCCCTTTAGTTTAATTGTAGTTAGTTAGTTTATTTACAATAGTTCTTTTAGATTGCATTGGTGATTGAATACAACCATTTCCCCGAGGATCGATACCCCTTTTTACCATTATATTACGTTTTATTTGCAAACAAAGGGTGTAATTTGCTTGGTGGACTTGACAACCCATCAAGTTTTGGCGCCGTTGCCGGGGAAATTGGTTATTATTATTTGATTGTTTATGCCTAGGTCTACAAGAACCGGTGAACTACTCTACAATCCGGAAATTGAAAAAGAAGCAAAAAGGTTGAAAAAGTTAGCCAAACAAGCAAAGCAACAACAACTAGTTCAAGCTTCTTCCTCTTCTCCATTAATCGACATAGAAGATCAAGTTCACACTTCAAGTGATATCGACACCGAGCTGAGTTCTCCAATTGTTGGTCATTCCTTTGAAGACATTCCGTTTGAAAACTACATAGCCATGAATCACACTCCACCTCACAATCCCAACCCAAACCCAAACAATCAAGATGCCAATACACCACCCCAACAACCAAGACAACAACAAGAACTTCTCATTGATATGCCACCTTGGAATCAAGCCCCTCCTCAAAACCAACCCAATTATCAACAACCACAAAACCAATAATTCCACCAAAACAACCAACCTCCAACAATGCTTTTCAAGTTCAACAACAAGTACATTACCCAAATCAACCCAATTACCAACACCCTCCAATGTACCAAAACCCAATGTACCCCCCCAACAACAACCCCCTACAACCAATATCCTAACTACCAACCTTATCCACCACCAATCTACAATCCCCAACAATACCCATACCCACCTTACCAACAACCACCCAATTACTTGCAACAATATCCCAATAACCCCAATCCACCCAACCCCCCTCAAGAGTTGACACTTCGACAAATGATGGAGACGGATGTTACTCACACACCTCTTGGTATTGTTTATCCCGCAAACCGCTGCGGGATTGAATTGAAGTCAAGTTTCATACATCAACTCACCAAGTTCCATGGTTTGGATAGAGAAGATCCTCAAAGGCATTTGAAGTCCTTTCATATGATATGTGTTAGCATGTTGCCCGAAAACGTGACATTGGATGATTTCAAGCTAACCGCCTTCCCGCTCACCTTGGAAGATAAAGCTAGAGAGTGGTTATTCAACTTACCACCGGGATCTATCCACACATGGGAAGAGTTACTCAAGGCCTTCAATAGCAAGTTCTATCCCACCTCCCGGATATCAAGTCAAAGAAGTGACATTTTGGGGATTCGTCAAGGAGAGAATGAGGCTTTTCATGATTTTTGGGAGCGATTCAACAACTTGTGTACAAGTTGTCCTCAACACAACATTCCCGAACAACTACTTCTTCAACAATTTTATGAGGGCATGAATGAAAAAGATCGAAGGATGATTGATGATTTCAAGTGGTAGTGACATCTTCAACAAGACACCTCAAGAGATAAGATCACTTTTTGGAACCATTTCTCAAAATCAAAGGAACTTTGGGACTCGAAATGAAATGAAGAGAAATTTTCCACAAGTGGTTGGTGAAGTTAGCAACACTCAACACTTGGAATCAAAGCTCTTGGATTTGACTAATGTGCTAAGTCAAATGGTGGTGGGAAGTGGTCAACAATTGATGGTATGCGGTATTTGTGCCATGACGGGGCATTATACGGATAAGTGTCCCACTCTTGGAAGTGAACCAGAAGATGTGAATGGAATGGGAGGATATCAAGGTCAACCAAGACCCACGGGATTTCAAAATAATTTCAACCCAAATTGGAGGAATAACCCAAACAATCCATACCCACCAAAGAAAAATCCACCAAACATTTTGATGAGACCCCAACATCCGCCATATCCTTCCCAAAAACCTCCATATCCACAAACTTCTTATAACCCTCCAAATTACCAACAACCTCCACAACACGGCCAATCAAGTGGTAACCATCAAATGAGCCTTCAAGAACTCGTCACTTCTCTTACTCAAAGCCAAACCCAATTTCAACAAGAGACCAAGAACACTTTCTCAAACATTCAAGCACAAATTGGAGATTTGGCCACCGTTCTCAACAAGATGGAACAAAGGGGTAAACTTCCATCTCAAACCGAGAAGAATCCCAATGTGAGTACAATAACTTTAAGAAGTGGGAAAACCCTTGGAGAAAGCAACCCCAAAAGAGTTTCAAGAGAAGAAGAAGATGAGGTTATTATTGTTGATCCTCCGAAGGTTGTAGTTCCTCCAAAGGAACCGGTTGTTCCAAACATTGATCAACCCGACTCTTCCAACAAGAACATCAAGCCATTGGTCATACCACCACCTTTCCCCTCCCGGTTGGCTTCCTCAAAGAAACAAGAGGAAGAGAAAGAAATTCTTGAGACTTTCCGCAAAGTTCAAATCAACATTTCACTATTGGATGCCATAAAGCAAATTCCGCGCTATGCCAAATTTCTTAAGGATTTGTGCACTAATAAGAGGAAGTTTAAGGCGAATGAAAAGATTCAAGTCAATGCCAATGTGTCCGCGGTTATCCAAAAGAAGCTTCCACCAAAATGCAAGGATCCGGGCATGTTTGCTATTCCTTGTACCATTGGTGACTTGCATGTTGAAAGTGCCATGTTAGATCTTGGAGCCTTAATCAATGTAATGCCATACTCGGTTTTTCAATCTCTCAATGTTGGACCTTTGGAAGAAACCGGAGTCATCATTCAATTAGCGGACAAGTCAAGTGTATTTCCAAGAGGTGTGTTGGAGGATGTACTAGTTCAAGTCAATCAACTAGTATTTCCCGCGGACTTCTATGTCATTGACCTTGAAGAGAAGACCCCTTCCAAGTCATCTATGATACTTCATGGAAGACCTTTCATGAATACCGCTCACACAATTATTGATGTCCATAATAGGAAGATCACAATGGAATTTGATGGAGAGATCATTCACTTCAACATCTTTGAAGCCATGCGATACCCTAGCAACATTTCTCCATTATATCGGGTTGATGTGATTGAACCAATCACCCAAGAATTATTCGAGTTATCACATGGGGATTTTTTGAAGATGGTGCTCAACATGAGTTTTGATGTTGAAAGTTTGAAGAAAACATTGGATATGTATACATTGGACTCCGAAGTTGAAGAAATTGTGAAGACTTTAGAACTTAACAACTCAACAAAAAAGGATGTTTCTCAAGTTGCCTTATCTCATTCTCCAAACAAGATGCCACCTTCCATAATCCACCCACCCACACTTGAATTGAAAGTCTTGCCTAGCCATTTGAAATATGCTTATCTAGGTCAAGATGAAACTCTACCAGTGATCATTTCTTCTCAATTGAAAGACTTAGAAGAAAACCAATTGATTGCAGTCTTGAAAGATCATAAAGAGGCCATGGGGTGGACAATAGCGGACATTAAGGGGGATAAGCCCTAATGTATGCACTCACAAGATACTCATGGAAGATGATTGTAAGCCTAGGAGGGAAGCTCAAAGACGATTAAATCCTCCCATGATGGAAGTTGTCAAGAAGGAGATAATAAAACTCCTTGATGCGGATATGATTTACCCGATTTCCGACTCCAAGTGGGTTAGTCCGGTTCAAGTGGTTCCCAAGAAAACGGGAATCACGGTTGTTGAGAATAACAAAGGAATAATGGTACCAACTCGAGTTCAAAATGGATGGAGGGTATGCATTGATTATCGAAAGTTGAATTCAAGCACACGAAAAGATCACTTTCCTCTTCCTTTCATCGACCAAATGATCGAGAGATTGGCGGGCAAGTCACATTATTGTTGTCTCGATGGATACTCGGGTTTTCATCAAATACCCGTTGCCCCCGAAGATCAAGACAAGACGACCTTCACATGCCCTTTTGGCGCGTTTGCCTACAAGCGGATGCCCTTTGGATTATGCAATGCCCCCGCCACATTCCAAAGATGCATGGTGAGCATCTTTTCAGAGTATGTAGAAAATATAATTGAAGTGTTCATGGACGACTTCACAGTGTATGGCAATTCATTTGATGAATGCTTGGATAATCTTGAGAAGATTTTGAAAAGATGCATTGAGAAAAAGTTGGTGTTAAACTTTGAGAAGTGTCACTTTATGGTCAATCAAGGCATCATCTTGGGACACATCGTCTCCAAAAAGGGAATTGAAGTTGATAAAGCCAAAATTGATGTCATCCAAACCCTTCCTTACCCAACATGTGTAAGAGAAGTAAGATCTTTCTTGGGCCATGCGGGATTCTATAGAAGATTTATCAAAGATTTCTCGAAGATTACGCGTCCGATGTGCCTCCTTCTCCAAAAAGATGTTGATTTTGACTTCAATGTTGCATGTCAAGAAGCCTTTGACAAACTCAAGGACTTGCTCACTTCCCCTCCAATAATCCAACCTCCAAATTGGGAAATTCCTTTTGAAATAATGTGTGATGCAAGCAACTTTGCAATTGGAGCGGTCTTAGGTCAAAAGGAGGGCAAAGCATCACATGTCATCTACTATGCCTCCAAAACCTTGGATAATGCTCAAGCCAATTACTCAACCACCGAGAAGGAACTTCTAGCCATTGTATTCGCCTTGGAGAAATTCCGGCAATACCTTCTCGGGACAAAAGTGATTGTATACTCCGACCATGCCGCATTGAAGTATCTCATGACCAAGAAAGATGCCAAACCACGGTTGATTCGGTGGATTCTTCTTTTACAAGAATTCGATCTTGAGATAAAGGACAAAAGTGGTGCCAAAAATCTAGTTGCGGACCACTTAAGTCGGTTGAATATTGGTGACTCCTCATCTTCTATCCTTGATGAATTCCCGGATGAGCATCTCTTCTACATTTCAAACACCATCCCATGGTACGCGGATATTGTGAACTACTTGGTTACTAAAGAAATTCCTCACGCATTTACCAAGTACCAAAAAGCCAAGTTGAAGAGTGATTCCAAATACTACGTATGGGACGACCCTTATCTTTGGAAACATTGTCCGGATCAACTAATACGGCGGTGTGTTCATCAAAATGAGGTCGAATCAATCTTGAAGTTTTGTCATGGGTATGCATGCGGAGGACATTTTGGTCAAAACAAAACCATGCTAAAGGTCTTAGAATGTGGACTCTATTGGCCAACAATGTCAAGAGATACCTATCTATTTTGCAAAAGTTGTGATAGATGTCAAAGAACGGGAACCGTATCCACGAGGCATGAAATGATTCAAAGCCCTATCCTCATTTGCGAAATCTTTGATGTATGGGGAATCGATTTCATGGTCCCTTTCCCCGTCTCTTTCGGATACACTTATATACTCTTGGCGGTTGATTACGTATCAAAGTGGGTTGAAGCAAAGGCTACAAGGCATGATGATTCCAAAACTGTGATTGACTTCTTGAAGTCAAACATTTTTGCAAGATATGGTGTACCGGGAGCTTTGGTGAGTGATAGGGGCACTCATTTTTGCAACAAAATGATGGAAGCCATGATGAAAAAGATATGGTGTCACACACAGGATATCAACCGCTTATCATCCACAAACGAACGGCCAAGCCAAAGTGTCAAATAGAGAAGTCAAGCAAATTCTTGAAAAGACGGTCAACACCACACGAAAAGATTGGAGCTTGAGGTTAGAAGATGCGTTGTGGGCGTATCGGACCGCTTACAAAACTCCAATTGGTATGTTTCCATTCCGCCTCGTCTATGGAAAGTCTTGTCATTTACCGGTGGAATTGGAACACAGGGCATATTGGGCGGTTAAAAAGTGCAATTTTAATCTTGAAGAAACCAGAAAGCATCGAAAGATGCAACTTCAAGAAATCGAGGAGTTAAGGAACGAGTCTTATGAAAATGCAAGCATCTACAAAGATAAGACAAAAGCGTTTCATGATAAACACATCACTCGTAAGCATTTTATTCCGGGCCAAAAAGTTCTTCTTTATCATTCACGCTTAAAGCTATTCCCGGGAAAGTTGCGATCTCGATGGCATGGACCTTTTATTGTTATAAAAGTGTTTGATCACGGTGCGGTTGAAATTAAGAGTTTGGAAACAAATCAAATATTCAAAGTGAATGGGCATCGCTTGAAACCATTTTATGAAGGCTTTGACACAGGAGAATTTGACAACATAACATTGGAAAATCCGAATTACGAAGGTTGACGGAAGCGGGACTAAGTCTTGGCAAAGGCGTTAAATAAATGCGTTGTAAATAAATAATCTCCGCTTGAAGTTTTGGGTGTTTCTAAGCTTGAAGTTGGTCTAAAAATAAGCATTTGGAAGTCTAGCAATGATCTTGGTGAAGTTTGAAAAAATGAAAAAAAAAAAATTCGAAATTTGCACGGGTACCCGCGCAGACGTTGCGCGACCGGCCCCCAGCCGCGCAAGTTCCGAGTTCCAACCTCCACAACTTAGAATTGCATCTGATTAGTTTGTGCGGCCTAACTCCACCCTCGCAGATTCTCACGCGGCTAAGAAGAAACCTCCTATTTCCTTTGCGCGACCCCCCCCCCCCCTTATAACTCCCACCCGGTAGGCCGCTCCATGCCCGCCCCACACCCGGACCCGACCCGTTCCTCCTTAACCCACCCTTATACCCCCTTAACCCGGCGGACTACCCTATCCCCCTTGTGCCTCCCGTCAACGAACACCCCCCCTTGTGCCTCCCGTCTTCAAACGCCGGTCGACGACGCAGTGCTCCTGCCACCTCCGAACGTCGCTGCCGCCGTTTCCACAGTCCACCACCGGCTAGCGCTTCCCTCCAGCAGCGTCACGCTCCAGCTGGCACCCCGATTTCGCACCCATTCCTCGCCGGAAAAGCGCGCCCGCGCCTGCCGCCTTCCAGCTCGCTTCTTCCGCCGGTGCTCCACCACCACCTTATTCCCCACTCGATTCCGACCACACCCCTACCAATCTTCACCGGTAAAAACCCCCTGCCACCGCTATTCTCGTGCTCACCGGAAACCAAACAAATCCCGATTCCGACGCCAAATCTCCGACAAATTCACAATTTCTTGGGGCATTATTCACCAAACACTCTCCCTCACGCCGATCTACTGTTAATTCAGGAAAATCTCCTCGCCGGAAACCCTAGCTCCGCCGCCGGCTGCCGTCTGTCGCCGCCGCCGGCCGCCGCCACTAGTTTTGACCAAAAAATTCAAAATTTATGTTTCTCACCGGAGTTTCAAAAGATTCAATCTTGCGGGTCAAATTCAAGCTTGGGGTGCGGTTTTAGCAAACTTCTTTTCGGGTTTCAACACACGAATTTGGTACATTTCTTTTAATTTTATTGCAGTCAACTTCTAATTTTAATAGGCTTGTTCTATGCATTAGATTGATTTGAATTAGCCTTAGTTTGCTTTGAATTGATTGGATTGCATTGACTTGTGCCAAATTGCAAGTTTGGAATTTTGCCCGATTTATATTTTTGCTATTTGGTTCATTTGGATTGGTGTGAGGCGAGTGTGAGGGATAATTTTGGCCAAGTTTTTGTGTTTGCTAGGTTTATTAACAAGTACAATGGCAAGGGACAAAACCATTCACGCCTCTCATGGTTCTTCCCGTGAGGCTTCATCCTCGCAATCCACAAAAAAAGCATCAACCGAGAATACCGATCGTGTGGGTAACCTTGTCCTCACGAGTGCACAAATCAAACAATTCCGGTCAAACATCCAAAAACGTCCAATTCGAGCCACCAAATTTTACCACCAAGACTCACTGACGCACCTTGGCCTTGACGATTGCCTGCAACAACTGTTCTTCAACATAGGTTGGCAAGAATTCCTCGATCTTTCCGCGCGCACTTACCAACAACCCACCCTAGAGTTCCTCTCCACTTATGCACGGGATGACGCAGCAGGGGTGCTCACATTTAAACTCCAGGGTCGACAGCACCGACTCACATACGACACCCTCAACACCATCATGGGCACATACAGTCCCTTCAACACCGACATCTATAGCCATCAGTAGACTCGATTCAAACGCGTACCTAATGTAGAGTTTTGGACTCAAATCACAAGTCTTCCAAACTTCAATCCAAGTCGACAAAAAAATTATCCATGATTCATCTTCACAAGCCCACTTCATCCAAGCCTTTATCTTTTTAAGCCCAAATCTCCTTTGGTGGATCCGCCAAGCCCAATAGCGCCTCGAGAGCCCACAAGTCCGTCTTCGCTTTAATCCATAATCGCGATAAGCTCCAAAACCCTGTAAAATACCTCATGCAACATAAAAAGCACCCGGTACGATCCATACTAAAGAAAATAAATAAAATACAATGCAATAATGATAAAAAGATCTAAAAATCTAAAATAAACTAATAAAAATAAGGAAATCAAATAAGCTATCAGCTTTCAAAAGCTATTAGTAGTGATTTTGGATCTTGAATCGAATGAGATTGTGTATGTATGAAGCTGACATGATGTATTAGTTAGTAACATCTTGTAATCGTTCATATTTCATTTATTTATTCTAAATGTAATCCCATTTATGACATTTTAGATGAGATAAATGTTAAAAACCATGAAAAATCATAAGTGCGTTGACATTTTGGAAAAGGATGAGTAAACCAAAAATGGAGCAGGATGCTTAACCGTGTAGACCGACAGATTTTCAGTGATTTCAGGTTTTTACAACATATCGAAGTAAATATCAGTTTGTCCTTAAAAAAACCTTTCAATTTTCTTTCCTCTGTTTTTTAAATCCTATATAAGGGAAGGGAATTCAATAATTTCATGGTGAAGATTTAAGAACATATTATTCAAAAAGGCAAAAAAAAGCCTATCAACAATAAAGTTATCTTAGGATTCTTAATTATGCGAAAATTTCATAAGAATTTCTTAGACAACAACGGAAGCATAAAGAAAAAAAACCACTTGTTTTACTTATTGTAAGACAAAGGGTCACTAAAAATGATCTACTATCATATAAGTATATAAGTAAAGCTAAGCTGTAAAGACTAAAGATGATCTACTATCAATCGGTTGTCCAAACAATATTGGTAAACCAAACATCTTGGAACAATCCTTTTCTCCAGACTGTACGAAATAATCTGGGAATTCTTTGCAATAACGGATGTCTCAAACCCCATCTTATTAACAAGATAATCCATCACTTTATTGATTTTCTCCTCCGATTTCATCATACACCATGGATTAGTCCTAAAAGCTAGCAAGATTTGAGCTTTAGACCAACCCCATTTCTCATAAGCCTCCATCTTTTTCTCCCATTTGGACGTACTCATGGACCTAAGTGCATGAACTGCTAGCGTGAAGGTTTTTTGCGTAGGATCGAAGCCCATCTTCACAATTTCCTCTACAATCTCTTTGAACTGCTCTGTAGTGACTAAAAGATCTCTAGGATATTTAGTTAATAGATACAATATTTTTGATCCACGCACCCCAACATCGCATAGTATTTGAATATTTAGAATCATGTTTGCTTGGAGATCGTAATTCAAGACCCATGCACACCTCCTGCTATCAAAAAGTGTTCTATCATTGGACTGAAGCAAATTTCTAAGTATATTATAGTTAGGTTCTATTTGATTCTTCAAGTTGTGGCCTAGGAAGCTGGGGCACGTGGATAATAAATTAGGAATATCGGAATCCGAAACCCCTATAGAACCTAAGAACTCAAATTTGGGCAAAAGGTTTTTTTCAGGATGACTTGAGAGGACCCTAGGGCCCATTTGCACAAATCGAGAAATTTGGGTTTCTGTAAACCCCTGATTCTTGAGAAATGATATCACGGAGTCTGCTCGATCTGGGGTTTTGAACTTTTAAGTATTTGGAAGCTGAAATCGCCTTGTCTAAAGGGAACCCACATGAGTCTATGAGGTAAGAAACTTTGAACGAGTTATCTGATTGATGCGACATGGACCTCCGGGATCTCTTCTGGACTTCTGTTGCGATGAAGTTCTGAACATCACAGAGCAAAATCGTTAGAACCACCCCATGGACTGTGCCCCGGGAGCAGGCCCCGACGATAAAGTTAGATCCGTTGGTAGAGATGAGATGGTTCCTCTTAACTGGAGAGAGCCATCTTGGTGTTGGGGATAGTGTATGGGCATGACGGGTGTAGGAGGAGTGTGGCGGCTAGGGTGGCGGTTGAGCCACCGGAGGAAGTCCCTCTCCATGGAGGAGGTACTGTTCATTTTATAGTGGACAATTAGGTCAAATGGAATTAGGTCAGGCCTTGGCCCAGCCCAATTCAGGCCCAACTAGCAAGGAGCTGGGCAAGGCCGCCCGGAGGCGCCAGACGAGGTTGGCAGGCACGCACCAGGCAAGGCTGGAGGGCACGCACCAGGAAAGGCTGGAAAGGAAGCATCATGCAGGGCTGGAAAGGAAGCATCATGCAGGGCTGTCAGGAGAGTGTCAGGCAAGGCTGGCAATGGAGCGTTAGGCAGGCCTGGCAAGAAAGCGACAGGAAAGCACCAGACAAGGCTGGCGCGCCATAGCTGTCTAGGCCATGCTAATGGACCTAATATCATCAAGTACCCCCAATCTGATGTGATTGGTATACGACCAATGACATTGGACTGGACTCGGTCATATAAACTGGGCGTCGTCAAGTCCTTTAGTCTGATGCGATTGGATTGTTGGCAATCGAATCAGACTAAACAAAGCACCAATGCATCAAAGAATAAAAAGAACAACCGAACCTCGCCCACATGAACTGGTCAGAATCAGTCTTGCATGGACCCTACGCATCTTCCAAATTCTCCTCACTTTAGAGACATAAACCACATTCTCAAACCACTTGAAGGCGAATAGATCACGTCTCGATGTGACAGCGGTGTCCAAGACAAAGGAAAGAGAGGATGCGCCCAGTTGGGGCACTTTAAATCACCAATGCAGACCCTAATGCATGAAGGAAAGACGCTTATTCACACACGATGATTTCTACATTTGTCAAACGAAAGTGTAGTAACCAAATAGGGTTTACAGCACGGCCTCCGGGCAAACATCCGGCTTCATGGGTTTTTCCCTTGTACTGTCCTTTACCTTCTACCGTCTCATCTGCATTGACTTTTCTCACCAAAATAAAAAATAAAATAAATAGGAAAAATATACTCAACCTAAATCTAAACTAACAACCTAACAACGTAACTCTTCAATCTTGAACTTCTGTTATTTGGTCTTCAGTCTCCTTGCTGCTCGATCTCCTGTCTTCTTATTTCTCTCCTCTTTTTTTTTTTTTTTTTTTTTTTGAGGAGAGAATGCTTGAACTTGGATTTTCTTTTTGTATTGCTCTTTTTCTTCATTTTTCTTCTTTGTTTTTGTCGTTTTTCTCTTTTGACTTTTCTTTGCTGCATTTCTTGAATCTTCTTTATTGTCTCTTTTTGTTTTTGCTTTTCCAATTTCTTCATATTTTTGTGTTTTCTTTTTGGAAGGTCTAAGTAGTTTCACCATATAACATAGGACTCCAATAGTGTGAAAAATGGAGTAATAGATAGAGGCTAACATGAACACCTAATGATCATTGATAATGTGTCAATATCTACTAAAAAAGGCGGAGAATGACTCAAAAACGGGTGTTACCGAAAAAACTTGGTCCCAAAAATGTGAATTGGTGGACCCGCCTTAAAGTTCATCAAGTACCTCAATATAAGGTGTGATAAACATAACCTATCTAACTATCTACTCTAGACCCCTAGAAAAATGATGACATATCTTAAAAAGGTAGTGATAATCTAACTAAGCAAGGCTCGGACGAGACTCGGGAGTACTAAGAGGTATTCCCCCCAAAACAAAGATGCGAGTCTTCAAAATACCTTACCGAGCTAATCTTTGCTTGCACACGTCATCCTGACCAACCACATCCCTCAGCACATAGACCCAATCAAGTTACCTGCATCTGACCCCACACAAGCGGTCTCAAAGTGGTCTGTGAGGCTCATAGCATGTCTTATTTTTCCAATACAAGGATTTACATATCAAGACCCAAGACCAATCTATGATTCAATACTTATGAATTGACGTTATGGTATCCGTAGGGATGAGAAAACAAGAGAGGAAAAAAATGCATGAAACTTAAACTAGAATGCATCTAAAAATGTATGAAATTTTGAAGAAAAAAAAAAGAAACAAAATATGTAATATTTTTGAAATTTTTATGCAATTTTATGAATGTCATAAATGACTTACTCTAAATGAAACTATATACAACCTAAATGCAAACAAAATAAAAGATAAGAATACCTCACCCCAAGCTTAAAATGAAGCATTGTCCTCAATTAGTTGTCTATGAACCTAATATCATCACTGATGTTGCTGGTGAC